TAATTAATAAAATAATAAAATCTATTCTAATAATTCTAAATAAAATATAACTAAATAATAAAATAATAAAATCTATTCTAACAATTCTAAGTAAAATATAACTAAATAATAAAACAATAAAATCTATTCTAACAATTCTAAATAAAATATAACTAAATAATAAAAAAGAACACATTGATCTCGAAAATCCGGTGCAGCGGAGACGGTTCAAATTACATACCCGAAAATCGTTCGAAAAATATTTTCACAAGCCTGAGAGAACCGACTCGTCCTCGCAGGGAACTCCCTCGAGCGTTTCTCCTCTCGCGTTTCACTCGCTCTTCTTTCCTTTCGCCCGAGTGCAAGGTCAAGTGATCTTCGGAGAGTAATAACGCGCGAATCGTTGGGGACGCCACGGTGGACTTCCGGTGCCGCGTACGGCTGCCTCGTTCCTCGCCTTCTGGTTTACACAGGGTGGGGGACAGTACCACGTCCGGTCCATCCCCCCACTTTCAAGTACCATTCGAATCGTTCATGGCGTCCTATAGGCATGGTGTATCTCTGCGGAACCGAACAGTCTCAGGTGGACCTCGTGTTCGTCTAGTCGCCACTTTCTTTCTTTTTTTTTTTTCCATCTCACGCGCGTTTTCACTGATTTACACATACACTCTCACAGAAACAATGTGACAATCAATCGTGAATGATTAATCGATAAATAATTAACTCTCGCAACATTGAGATTCTCGGTGAACGAGTTCAAAGCGAGAGTCGGCAAATCAATCAGTCGTATATTCCCACCAGTTGTTTCTTGCCAATTGAAAAAGTGAATTCGAAGGGAATATTTATACTTTTCGTCTCTCGCCAACCCTTTGTGATCGATGAAAGAAACGTGCACGATCAACGAATGGATCATTCACCTCTGTGAATCGACGGAAAGAACAAAACGTCGCCCAAAGGGACCATTCGCATCAAAGAAAATGTCGTTCCTTCAAATCAATTCCATTCAGCTCTAATTAATTCATCAGATCGACTCGCTCGCTTTAGATCTTTCGTCTCTGCGTCGCCACGAGTGCATCCGCTATAGTTTTGAACGGAAAATGGGCCGGAAAACGACCGTGAAGAGAGGCTAGACCAAGCCACGAGCCACGAAAGCACCTCGAGGGTTTCCCAGGGGTTCACGGAGCTGATTCTATGACCTTGGGTCCGCATGTTCACAGACAATCCCTCGTATTTCTCGCTGTCGAGCGGGACGGTGACGACGTCGCCGTCGACGACGCCTACGTCGACAACGAGCGTCGCGTTCTCGCCACCGTCGAAAGGATCGACAGGGTTGACCGCCCTGTTTCGCCGACGTCCCTGCAAAATGGGCACCACCTCGTCGGCCAGCGTGCTCTCAACGTCCACGACGAGCACTCTGATCCCACACGAGAACAACAGAAGCAGCACCTCGGGCGCGTCCACGCCCACGGAAGAGAAGATGCCGATGCTGTCGAGAAACGGGACCGGCCACAGCCCTCACGCAGCCTCTGTCAACCAGAGGAGGAGCTTCAGAAATCTCTTCAGATCCGTCAGCGCGAACGCGGACAACGAAAGGACGCAGCAGTTCTTGAAGGGAGATCCGCGACCTTCGGACGTTGCGCCACCCTCGCCGTATCTGCCCCGGTTGGTAAACTCTCTCCAGTTTCCGTTTCTCTTTCGTTTTTAATCTCTTGGCGAACAATTCTTGGAAAACTCGTTGAAAAATTTCTCTCAAGAATGGCAAAATTTTTCATTAATTCGTTGTCTTCGGTTGTCTTCGGACGTTCGAAGTGGGCGGGTTTTAGATTTTTTGATAGTCAGTTTGGAAAATGGTTCGATCGAACTCGAAATGTTACATTTGGGTAGTTTGAACCTTCGTCGTCGAAATAATAATCTTGTATTTTTAATATTCTCTGTATTTAATATTCAAGTTTTTCTCAACGTGTTTTCTAAGATCTGAATATTGATCAAAGGGTACAAATAGTAGAATAATTTTATAGGATATAAACAATAATAATAATTATATATAATGGAAAGTTTCTAATACTCTTTCCTCACGAGACAATACGAAAAGATTAAAATTCTGTGAGTTATTGTTAAATTTCTTATTGTTATTGCTGAAAACAACAAATACAGAAAATCTTTATTAAAGTGATAAAATAATGTTTGATGTTTGGTAATTTGAACTTTCGTCTTTAAAAAAAATTTATTGTATTAAAATTTATTGTATTTTTAATGTTAAATGATATTTTAAAGTTTTTCTCAACGTGTTTTCTAGGATCTGAATATTGATCAAAGGGTACAAATGGTAGAATAATTTTATAGGATATAAACAATAATAATAATTATATATAATGGAAAGTTTCTAATACTCTTTCCTCACGAGACAATACGAAAAGATTGAAATTCTATGAGTTATTGTTAAATTTCTTATTGTTATTGCTGAAAACAACAAATACGGAAAATCTTTATTAAAGTAATAAAATAATGTTTGATGTTTGGTAGTTTGAACTTCCGTCGTTAAAATTTATTGTATTTTTAATGTTAAATGATATTTCAAAGTTTTTCTCAACGTGTTTTCTAGGATCTGAATATTGATCGAAGGGTATAAATAGTTGAATAATTTTATAGAATATAAACAATAATAATAATTATATATAATGGAAAGTTTCTAATACTCTTTCCGCACGATACAATACGAAAAAATTAAAATTCTGTAAGTTATTGCTAAATGTCTTATTGTTATTGCTGAAAACAACAAATACAGAAAATCTTTATTATAGTGATAAAATAATGTTTGATGTTTGGTAGTTTGAGCTTTCGTCGTTAAAATTTATTGTATTTTTAATGTTAAATGATATTTCAAAGTTTTTCCCAACGTGTTTTCTAGGATCTGAATATTGATCAAAGGGTACAAATAGTAGAATAATTTTATAGGATATAAACAATAATAATAATTATATATAATGGAAAGTTTCTAATACTCTTTCCTCACGATACAATACGAAAAGATTAAAATTCTGTAAGTTATTGCTAAATTTCTTATTGTTATTGCTGAAAACAACAAATACAGAAAATCTTTATTAAAGTGATAAAATAATGTTTGATGTTTGGTAATTTGAACTTTCGTCTTTAAAAAAAATTTATTGTATTAAAATTTATTGTATTTTTAATGTTAAATGATATTTTAAAGTTTTTCTCAACGTGTTTTCTAGGATCTGAATATTGATCAAAGGGTACAAATGGTAGAATAATTTTATAGGATATAAACAATAATAATAATTATATATAATGGAAAGTTTCTAATACTCTTTCCTCACGATACAATACGAAAAGATTAAAATTCTGTAAGTTATTGCTAAATTTCTTATTGTTATTGCTGAAAACAACAAATACAGAAAATCTTTATTAAAGTGATAAAATAATGTTTGATGTTTGGTAATTTGAACTTTCGTCTTTAAAAAAAATTTATTGTATTAAAATTTATTGTATTTTTAATGTTAAATGATATTTCAAAGTTTTTCTCAACGTGTTTTCTAGAATCTGAATATTGATCGTAGGGTATAAATAGTTGAATAATTTTATAGAATATAAACAATAATAATAATTATATATAGTGTAAAGTTTCTAATACTCTTTCCTCACGATACAATACGAAAACATTAAAATTCTATGAGTTATTGTTAAATTTCTTATTGTTATTGCTGAAAACAACAAATACAGAAAATCTTTGTTAAACTTTGAGTATAGAAGTGTGAGAGCACGAGGTACATGACGTATTGTTTTCCACAGATCGCACTCGCATTCTGAAAACGACAAAAGGCATCCAGGTCGAAGTAGAGCAGTGCTGAAATCCGCCAGCGAACTTCTGTCCAATGACATGGTGTATTGCGGATTGGCCAGAGATAATCACGATCGTCACGACGATGACGGCGATGACGACGATCGAGATTCGAACGAAGTCTTCGTTGGTGTTGACGATGCTAGGTCGGTAATGAAATCAAGCGAGAATAATATAAACATAACATGAATGTACAATTTAAAAAAAATCCACAGTTGTCTGTTAAATCTAATTACTAGGTCAGTAATAAAATCAAGAGAGAAAAATGTAAATTTCACGTCGATGATGCTAGGTTGGTAATTCAAATGAAAATAATATAATGAATAATAATATAAATAATAATTCAAACGAGAATAATGCAAACGTAACATTAATGTATAATAAAAAAATATCCAATCTATTAAACCTAATAAATCTATTAAATCTATTAAACCTAGGTCAACAATGAAATCAAGTGAGAAAAAAAATTAATTTAGCCTACAAAAAATATATATAAAAATCCGCAGTTCATTAATTAATGTCGGTGTAACTGTCACTTATTTCTTCAATTTATTTCAGGTACTACAATCTCTCGTCCACGTTGCCAGCAGCAGGATCAGCAACAGCTAGTCGAAGGAGACACTCGATCAGCACCTTCATAGGCAAAGATCGAGGCCCCTCGAGCAAAGACGTCCCCAAAAGACAACCGCAAAATCCCACAGTTCTCGTCGAGCCTAATACAATGGCTCCGCCAGCGCCTGTAGATACCGTAGATGGTGTTGTCCAAGCGGAAGACCGGAAGCCGAGGTCTTGCAGCAGATCCAGACGTAGAAGGCATCGCAGTTCTTCGAGCAGGGGTGAGTAGACGAATCAGCAACGATCGAGGGACAATCGAGGAGCTTTCTGAGAAGAGGACTCGTGAAACGAAATTTTTTCAATTGATGAAAATTGAAGGAAAGTTGTTAATTTACGGAAGAGCAGGTTTCTTTGGCGTTTAATGAGTCACTGATACTAAAGAAAGTACTTTCACAATGAACGTTGTTGTTTATTTAGGAAATTTGCATTTACATGTAGTGCCATATTCACCAAGGAAGCACAGGATTCTTTCTTCAGAAAACTTCTCAATTTTGAAAATGGACATTTTGAAATTCGTGAAATACACGTTTCGACAATTAAGATTTTGATGTCTGGAAGACTATGAAGATGTAGCCAAATTACGCGTAGCTTTAAAAGCGATTTACGAATTAATTCAAAGAATCTTCAATCACTCTACCAAAGAACCAGAGAGAGAAATTATCGCAACGATAAACAATCTAACTGATTTTAAAAATTACTCTCCTCTCGAGTCTTTAAATATTAAGATAATATTACGATCACTCGTGATACGAGCAGAGTCCTTTATCCCTCAAACAATAGTCATCGATCGAAGAGAAATCGAGCGATTAAGAGTCCCTCGAGAATCCATACGCCACGATAGAATATTATCTCATGTCAAAGATCTCTTCCATTTATTGCCATTTCGATTTGACCGAAACCACATTGATGTATTAATAAACGAGCCAACGAGACTTAATTGGCTGATTAAGAGAGCATGGAATCACATGAACTCTCTTTCTTTTGAATCTCACGAGCGAATATTCGGCGATTCCTTTCTTTCTTGCCGATCAATCGCGACGTGGCGATTATGGTCGGCACTCGAACCAAGGAGAGACCCGTGGCTCGTTCCCACGGGGCCAAATTTCGCTTTGTACGCGCCCGCATGCTCGTTCGAATCACGTACAAAAGCCTCGTTGTGAATTCGAACCGATGAGATGCGAGCGTTCGACCACGATCTTCCCTGTCGAATTCGAGTTTAATCGTCGTGTTTACCATTAAAGAAGATCTGAATCTCGTACAAACCATTAGATACCATTGAATCTGAATCTCTGAAAGCTTTCTGAAACTGTAGTTTTGGAAGAAATTGGTCAGATTTGGAATGAACTTGATTATTGTATTAAAAAAGAGTTTTATCTGAGACAGTCTGAGAGATAATTAGATACCTACGTAGTAGGAAGAATATCGATACAATTTTCTGAAAAGAGAAGTAAGATAGATGAGAACTTAATTATTGTGTACAAGTGGAACTAGCATTTTGTCTAAGATAGTTCTTTCAGTACTACAGTGCATCAGATAATTAGATAGTAAGGAAGAGGAGTCGATACAATTTTCTGAGAAGATAAGTAAGATAGGTTTGGGTTAGGTTGAATGAAGAAATTGAAAATTGATTACTGTATTAAAGAAGATTTGGTACTCAGGTGACCAATGGTTGTTTAGATTCTCAACAATTCTTAATAGTAAAGTTAATTCTTATGGAACAATTTAATTCTTAATAATTAAGTACACAAATACTCAAGTAGTATGTAAATAGGTGAATACGTAGAGTGAATTTTTTATATTCTTAATCAAATCGAGCAATCATGTTCCTCGAAAATTTTCCTAATGTGAAAATTATTTTCTTAGCCCAAATTAGATAAAATCAATCAAAAAATAGTCTTTCAAGTGTTGTTCGAAGAAACGTAAAATTATAATAAATTTGTTTGTTTTTTTCTGCTGTTGAAAGGTGAGAAATTAATTAAGTTGGATCAATTTCCAAGAAATTCTTTACACGCTTCTCAACTTCTCTTCTTTTTTAAGAAACACAAACAGCGAGAAGTCAACGTTCAAATCAATACGACGAATTAATTATTAAATTATATCACTGACCTATTCTTCTTTTATTAATATTAACACTCTGGCTTGGCCACAAAAATTTCAATTTTACATTGTTTAACTTTGAGATTTTTAATTTTGATTTGATTGCCAAAGGAAACATAAAATAGAAAATGGAACTGAACATCTTAAACTCTTATATGTATATATGATATAATGATACAGTATATATAGTAGTATATAATAATACAAACAGTGTATATATATATAATATAATAATACAGTATACATAGTAATATATAATAATACAAACTATTATAATCATCTATAACCGCACGACGTCACTCAAAGGTTCAAAATCACAAGTACTCTAGACTGAAAATTTTAAGAATCGTTAAACACTGCATTTATTCCCATTCCCATAATCGTGCACATTCATTTTTACTTTATATTTTCTTTCAACGTCGATCGAAACCACCCCCGAAAAATTGCCAGATTCCTCGTGGAATCCCAATTAGAAATCGCGGCCTTAAAGGATATCCGGTGATCTTTGATCGGCTCGGAGAGATAATCTTCGTCTCTGGACGAAGACGTGCTTGGTCTCCGGAAGCCTAATACTCTTAGTATTCTTCGAACGAGCTACCCGTTTCCCGATCTGTGACCCGACCGAGCCACCCGAAACGCAGCTGACGAATTGTAAAATTTACGGCTATACGTGATCCATCGATCGCGGAACGATTCCACGTGATCGGGCCGCGACTCTCATGTCGTCCACGTGTCTCACGTGTTCCATTGTTGCTATTTAATTAGCCACGGGACCTTCCGGCTCGGTCGACGAATTCGAAGCGTGTACGAGCTTCAAACGGAATGTTGATCGTGAGTTTTAATAATTTTAAAAATAGAGCTTTAAAAATAGATAATTATTGTGAATATTTTGTATATATATTGTATTTTTGTTTATATTGTATTCTGCGCAAATTTGCATTTAACACTAGATTTTCTTTCGCTTTATAGTTGCTTAAAAGATATCGAGTATCTTTTTCAAAAATTATTATTGATTTCTCAGTTCAGACAGAAACGTAATTGTACAAATCTATTTATTTTAGTTATGACGCTTTTATTTATTTACATGTGTGTATGTAAATTGTCACATGATTGTCGCTTCTATTTGTGATCGTCTATCTCTATATATATTTTAGAATAATTAAAATGAGATGAATTTCACTAACAATGAATTTTACGTGACATAGGTGACTAGATTTATAACATTATGAAACGAGAAATACGCCTTCGTTGTATTTTATTGTCATATAATGTTTTATCAAAATCAAGTGCTTTGTCCAAGTAAACAAGACATGAAAGTTTCGCATGATAGACAACCCAGAAAGGAGAAAATTGTTTTACGGTTTGTAGAAACTATACTTCGAATATTTCCTACAAATGGATAAAAATCCTCAGAGTACAGATTATAGATAACTGTTTCAAGGTAGAGGTTGATAGAAAATGCGATTGTAATTTCACTGTTGTAACAGAAATATCGAAATTCACTGAGAGTCTGAATAAGAAACTGTAGGGAAAGATTCGAGAAGGATCTCGCGAACCGTCCTCCGCTTCTGTTTTCAATTAAAGCCGGAAATGAAGCGTGGATATCCGCGCAGGCCAGACTTCGAGAATCCTCGATTCCGCCAGTTACATCGCAGACACCGAAAAAATATTTAAAGATTTAGATTCGCCTAAGCCCGCAGGGAACAAAATCATTAACTTATTTTCAACGTTTAAACTAGAAACTTTTAAACTTACAATTGAAATGGCGTCGACTTAAATTTATTATTTTTGCATTTCTCAAATAAATTTCTCAGTCTAACAGTGAAAATTCACTTTAGAATAAAAAAAAAAAAAAAACAGAAAACAAAAAAATATAAAATGTTTCAATTAAAAATCGGAGCAAGACAGAAAATAATTTCTTAATTCTTTCAATAAATTTACACTTACACGTCTGTTCTGCGATACAAAATTTTTATATTGTATTTCTAATATCTTATATTTTTATTTTATATTATATTTCTAATATTTTATATTTTTATTTTATATTATATTTCTAATATCTTATATTTTTATTTTATATTATATTTCTAATATTTTATATTTTTATTTTATATTATATTTCTAATATTTTATATTTCTATTTTATATTATATTTCTAATATTTTATACTTTTATTTTATATCATATTTAAACTATTTTATATTTTTATTTTATATCACATTTAAAATATTTTCTATTTTTATTTTATATCATATTTAAAATATTTCATATTTTTATTTCATATTATATTTCTACTAATAACTTTTCCATTCTTATCAATGAAAATATCATCTCCCGATGAATAACTTTCCGACATCTCTAACGAATAATTGGTACCAAAGCAATCCAACAACCGGCGAATCAAATCTCGGACGGACGAACAATCAGAGGAGCAACGTCTCTGTTTAACATCGACAGTAACGAGATTGTCGTTCTCCCCGGGCGAACCGGAAGTTTTCGTTCACTTGTTGAGACTGTCACGTCGTTCGAGCGCCTGTGCATGTGCGTGTGCACGAGCCAGTGTCGAAAGGATACACTCCACTTTATGCCAGACTTTTTCACGACGCGGCACGCTACGTAGCTGGCAGGATAAACTGTGTGTGCACGGGCACGACGAAAGAACCGGTGCATCCGGTTCTGCGGAACCACGCCACGTTGCATCCGGACGAGACGTTGTCGTGACACCCTGTGTCCCCGGGTGTCGTTAAAACAAACCGTGCCGGCCCAAGCCAACGCTGATTCGTATTCCAGCTTTACAACGCGACCTGTCGCGCTTCCGTTTCGACATCGACATCTTTCCACAGTGATAAATTACCAACCGGCGAGAACATGTGTACGCTGCACGTATCGATGTCGATATCGGGGCGTTGTTTCACCACGTCGCGGCTTGTAGACTGATAGTTTTCGTTTCCTTTTGTTATATGGGATATATGCTGCTCGCAAAAATTAGGGGGATATTTCAAAATGAATATGAAAGCGATTGATGATGATGATTTTTTTTTTTTTTTTATTATTATTGAACGAGCAAACGACGTAACATTTTCTGATGTTCTTGAAAGTTTAATAAAAAGAAGTCAAACGCTCC